ACCGCACTCCTGGTGCCACCATCACCTTTATCTGCGAATGTCTCTGATGATGGATTCGAGTGAGAATCCGAAACGTTAGGCCAATAAATTTCTTGTTCCAGTGATCGCATCGTCCTCTTCTGAACTGCTACCTGGAACTCGCTTATCGCTTCTATCAGCAATAGGTTTATTGTTAGACGTCTGGGTGAAGAAAATTTTACCTGTCGGATCGAATCATATTCCGAGAGACAAAGCAGATGTGAATTATTCGTTTATGACATTCGGCCTCCGACCGTCGTTGCCGACGATTTCCACTGTGTGCTCCACAGCGGGGTGACTCCGGGGACGGTGACTTGCACAGGACCTGCCACACCCTCTCCTCCCCACCTATGCCCAGTGTCATGACCAAGTCCAGATCGGGCCTGGAAGAGGCCGCAGGTGGCTGGCACGGCGAGAACTCGCACTTAGGTGTACCACTACACCTCGTGGCCCACAACAAACATTTGACCAGGACTCTCAACAACAACGAAAACGCGGAAGTGGCAAGGATCCTAGTGTGCGCGGCGTGAGCCTGCAACTGAATCTACTACAACTCCCCGACTGCTGGCAGCTGTCGTGAGTGCGCATTCCCGATAACGCGTGCGGGATTCCGATGTGACTCCCGTGTCGGTCCAGCGCTTCCATCGTGTCTTAAAGCCCGTGGCTCTGTGGACGAGTGAGACGGCGAATTGCAAGACCCAACCATGGTGTTATGGAAACAGTTATCTTTGGAACACCCGAGGCTCGAACTCGCGACCTGTTAGTTATAAGTCCACGCCTCTAACCGCTGGGCCACGAGCCCTTTGCCCTGTCGGTTTCGATCAGGAATATACACTGGTAGGGGGCGCTCACCGATCGTTCTTACGGAACTCCCTCGTTCCATTGTGCCTTGCGGGCTCTCTTTCGAGCCCAACCAGCGATCGTTCTTACGAAATTAATGAGTTCCGTAAGAACGATCGGTGAGCGCCCCCTACCATTGTATATTCCCGATCGAAACCGACAGGGCAACGGGCTCGTAGCTCAGCGGTTAGAGGCGTGGACTTATAACTAACAGGTCGCGAGTTCGAGCCTCGGGTGTTGCACACTTCGGGGTTGGGTATGACTGGCTGACGACGGCTAATAAGCCAGAAGTGGCCATTCCAGTCTCTCACGGTTATATTTGTAGAACCCAATGAAAACAGGCAGAATGCATCAGGTGCCCAGTGGTTCAAGTTATAGCTGTGCGGTACCCTGTCAGAGATTTGAATTAGATTGAAGAAAATAACTACCGCCGACTGTCATTAATTTTGACGAGAAGTGATAACGTTAGCGAAAGACAAGCGATATGTTTCTCTGGATCTTCCAGGTAAGAAGTCATACTGGGTAGAGCAAAGTAGGCAGCTGGCTAGGAAAAAGAGCTCGGCGTGGGTATCGCCACCGTCCGACAGCGACCATACGCAACAAAATCATGCGAGTCAAGGATCGACTAGACGTGGGCAAACAATCGGGTGTTGTTTATCAGATTCCATGTCGGGACTGCCCTCACCACTACACAAGACAGACCGGACGACGACTTAGCTCACGAATAACGGAGCACAAACGGACGGTCCGGAGAGGCGACCCGTTGTCTCAGGTCGCCACTCACACCCTGGAGGAAGGCCACGAATTCAACTTTGCGAGCACGCGGCTAGTAGCGCGGGCCAGCAATAAGACAGGGCAAGGACTGTTGGAGGCCTGGGTGTCTGACACCAACTCTATCAACAGACACGTCGACAAACCCCCCTGCTATCACGCGCTCCGTTCCCACGGCCAAGAGGCGAGACCCAATTTCCAGCCGAGGGTGCACGCAGTCACACCGCCGTGACTCATCTTATCGCTAATACCATCGTCTGCACTCATATGCCTCCCCTTCATAGCTTGACTACCAAAACTGCTCATTTGATGCCGCATTCTCATAGTCTCTGACGCTGGCTTTCTGTACGAGACCGAAAGCTCAGACTAATACGCCTACTATTCCAGAGATCGTTTGTTCATCTTCTTTACAACTTTATTAATTTTTGTTTGAGATTGTGTTGCTTGAGCGCACCGGTGGAGATATCGAAGATTTTGTAGATGCATTCTAACTCGGATATCGGAAAGAAGTTAGGTCAAGCTCGAAAGAAAGATTTAGGAGTTGGCGCATTTGGCGCACGCCGACGGACCCCTTGATGACCATGGTCATTATAACACATATCCTTTGCACATATGTACGGATATGAATATGCACATTTACACATAATCAATAAAGAAATTTAGTCGCCTGAAGCGTGTTTGAAGACATCTCACAGCATACCTTCATTGATGCAGTGCATAAGTGATGCAATTAGATAATGAACTTCGAAGCAGGCTGCAGATACTGCTTTTGCGAAAGACTATGCTTATGAAAAACCAAACAGACCTTGTAATCACAGCAATAACATCAACAGCCAAAATCTCGCTTGGGTATTTTCCGACGGACTAATCGCTGGTCGACGGAGAACTGCCGTTTGTTTGAGCGCGTTATTCGCGTTTGACCGTGTACACCGGAAACTCAAGAAAGTCTTTAAGTGTGAGCGAAAAGTTATGTTCCCAGATGACACGAAATGTCTCGTCGGTTGCGTATTAGTTGCCTAGCGGTCTTGATGATAGACCTATCTGCATACAAAAGTCCGGCAGGGTTGTATTACGCTGCCCAGGTTTTCAGACGTCTTGTTGCTTTCGTACTATTATTGATTTCAGTAGGCAGTTAAGGTTTATACCTTTTAGTATTTGCTTACTTTTTCCGGGTGTGGCGATGCGCAATTGGGCCTTTGTTGCTGGGCTCGGAGTCAGTCTGGGGTTAGGCGTTAGCATTACGTTTCGTTTTAAAGTTATGGTTTGGGTTAAGGTTTAGGGTTGGGGTTAGTGTTGCGCTTAGGGTTAGTATTAGCTTCAGAATTATGATTAGGCTAACGGTTAGGTTTGATGTTAAGATTAAGTTTAGGGTTAGTGTTAAGATTAAGATTACGGTTAGTGGCACGTTTAGTGTAAATTAACACGTGTAAATTAATCGACTATATGCACCTAGAGTGCCCAGGAGTCATACGGATGTTGATACACTTGAGGCGACTAGGACCTAACAAATCCGCCTTAGAGAATGACACCATAAGAAAATGCAGTCGGTGTTTGCCTACGGAATTTTCCCGCAAATGCGGATAGTCTGATTGCTTGAAATTTTGGAAAGCTGCCGAGTATCGGCAATTTTCGCTTCATACTGGACTGGTAGATTTGTCCTCCGTTCTTGGCGACGATCGTTATCAACACTTTTTACAGTTTTTCGTTGCTGTTTTCATTTTTTACCTTACTTTGCATCTTACTTGTTGTGACTTCGCCCAGTGCATGCTGAAAATTTTTTCAGATTTTGCTGCCCTATATAATCCCACTTATGAAGTTTACAATATTCACTGCTTTGTCCATCTGCACGAGGACGTTAATCGTTTTGGTGTTCTAAATAACTTTTCCGCGTTTTCTATTCAGTCATTTTCGCAAACTGCGGTACATGTTTGTAAACGACTTTCGGAGAGACACTTGCCTGAGTTGCCAACAGGCCCAGTGCTGTTGGACGACGATGAAGGAGTCGCCCGGCCATTTCAGTTAACCCGCGGGTCCTCCGCCATTTTCCACAAGGGACATGCCCTGTCCGCAGAGCCGCCTGACAATGGTGATACTTATAGGACGTAGGCCGTGTGTAGTGACATCCGTTTCGGCTAGCGAAATCACACATTGACTCTTTGTTGACTTCAAGGACTTGTTAACCAATTCCATTTCCTCTTCAACCTTGAATATATTCAAAGCTACCGCTTTATCAAGTACTCCCTCCGTCTCTACCCTTTCTGACATTGTTTATAAGTATGTTTCTCTTAACGTTGGTGGAGAAGTTTTCCCTCTTCCACTTTTGCATACTTACAATGTACAGTAACGTTTCCTGACTGTTCAGTTATCTCCAGTCTCTTGCTCTTGCAATGAACGACTGAGGTTACGGACTCTGCTGCTGATGTATGCAATTGTTGAATTGGAAGAAGAAAACACAGTGGATGTCGTGGCCAAAACCTGATTTGTGGGCAAAGGCCGCGTAGGTTGGGCAAAAAGCCAAAGCCATCGGGAGTATCTGCCGGCGAGGAATCTAGAGCTCACTGGGAAGGTAAACATCTATTCACTCAGAGTGCTGAAGGGTAATCTTACTTTAGTGAGGGCCAGACGGTTAATGAGGAGGGCCGAGGACACGGTCGACCTGTCCATCTCCGAGCCTGCCGAATTGGACAGAGGCAGGAGGATAAAATATGTGTCCCATGCCTTTACCAAATGTCCCTAGATTCGTCCGCAGGCTGACGTCTGATTCGGACGATGAGGAGGAGGAAAAGGACATCTACCGTTGAAGGCGGCCTGAACGAAGACTGACTCGTTAGCCAGCGCCACCGCCAATCCTCCGGTATCTCGAAGGATTAGACAAGACATGACGGAAAGCTGCCAAACACCGCGTTGCTATGGAGTTAGACAATCCAGGCTGCACCAGTAGCCTCCTGCCGGCAAGCATATTTTATTACTTTACTTTTTGGCGGCAATCGAAAAAACCAGCGAAACTGAGCAACAATATTGCTGTTCTCAGATCCACTGTGAAGTCGACTGCCTCCGGCAAGAATATTCACGACAGTTCGACCGTCGTTGCCGACGATGTCCACCGTGTGCTTCACAACAAGGTGGAGCAGGAACGGTGAAATGCGCGTAAATTAGTTTATAGTCAACGTAGACTTGCACAGCCTCTACCGCGCTCTCCCCTCCTCCCCCACCTGGACTTGGTGTCAAGACGACCGGAGACGGACGAGGGCGCAGGTGGATGGCACGGCCGAGTCCGCACCTGGGCGCTCCACTCCAAACCCCCTGGGCCGCACTACAAATGACCAGGTTTCTGACCAACAATAACAATGGGGGGCGGCAGGGGTCCCAGTATGCCCGACGTCTGCCGGCAGCCGGGTCCGCCACCACACCCCGAAATGTTGGCATTTGTTAAGGTGCGCAATCCGATAACGCCTGACAGAATGCGATAAGGCGGTCCAGCGCATCTACTACGGACCTCGTTTGGGGAGCGCAATGTCATCAACAACCACATAGGTGAAAAGTAGATTATGTGGCTGAGCGGTCCGTTACAAATTTTGATGAATTGCAACAGTTTATAGCAACTTTGGCTGAGATTCTGTGAGCAGTGCAGTTGACGTCCATTCCAGCCAGGCAGACAACAATACTTCCGAATCTGCCACTGTGCACTGAGGGGTAATACAATGAATTTGTTTCCCGGTTTAGTTCAAAAGCGGAATTTGCACAGGAGGTGGTGATTACACGAATTTGTCTGTATACTTATAACGGCTTCTAGGCAAAACAACTGTCGGTTCTTGGGAGACGAAATGAGTACGAGTTTCATATTGACCCAACTGTGAAAAACTCGACGCCTCGATGGGATTTGAACCCACGCAGTAAGGGGAAGGCTTTAGTACAGGCAACGCTCTTACCACTTGAGTGCGATTTTGTTAGAAATATACTCTGCTTGGTCCCCCTCTGCCTCAGCTTCTGCTGGGGGAGGATCGACAGAAAGAAGGCCATTCTCCGGTTTTCCCCTCCAACCTATCCTCTCCGGTAGGTCAGATTTTTTTTCATTAACATCCACAGACGCTATTAGACTGGACCCAACTTTCAGTAACTCCCCAAGTGAGTAGTAGAAAATTTTTCGGTTCGAATTATACGGAAATACCTTCTTCGTACCTACATAAGATGCCATGCAAAGTGCATAGTATGCATGGCTGTTATTATAACTTTTTGCTACTAAAGAACTGTGGCGAATTCCTGTTTGACTAAAAACCGATTTTCTCGTTTGCCTGCAGGAACCTGTCATGTCGACCGAAAGGGCATCATAACTCAGGACAGACAATCTGTATCTCGCTCAAAATTCTTACATGCCTTTACTGTTATTTAAGTCCCCGATAAACATTTCCTTCCGCCAACTTCAATCAACCAACTTCTGTCGTGAAATTGGTCGCTGCTTATGTAATTAATCAAGTGGTGTGGGAAACTCTAGGTTGGGTGTTATTGGGGTCGATTTGCTTTAAATAATAGTGACACAGCAGCCCATGTATATTTGCCGATGGATCCGATATCGAAAAAAGGAAACCAGAAATGCGTGAAAAGGCGAGCCCCCTTTGCGCATTTTTTTGGTGAGGGCCAACTAGGCCACATCAGCCCATTTCGCAACTCAGCGCAGCCTTGTGATCCAACCGTAGCCACCTCCAGCCCGATCGGGCCAGAGCAGGACAGATTGGGCTGGTACTGCCAGGAAAGGTTAGTACTAGGACAAGGGTCAAATTTGGGTTTCGGGTCAGGATTAAGGGTTATGTTTAGTGTTAAGGTTAAGGTTAGGCTTAGGTTTAGCGTCAGATTTGGTGTTAAGTCGCGGTTAGCGCTAAAATTGATTAGGGTGTGGGTCGAGTCATATCTCATCTCATCTTATCTCATCATCATCTGCCCGTCTTTCCTCTTGCGGGTCCCTTCTTCTGCACTTAACACTACATTCGGTCCTGCAAAATTATAGGAAAATTAATAATTCAATTTAGTAACAATAAACATTTTCATGTTTTTACCCTCTTACAGTCATTACTTACTTAAAGTATGATCATAGCCTTACGACCATTTCCGCCCACGCCTTACTTCACCATCCGCCTTACGCTTCCTTTTGTATCATTTGCCTCCATCAGATTAGCCGTCCTTATAGTTTTCTTACTTTATCATTGCAGTTTCCGCGTTCGGCGTTGTTTTCTTATTTATTTTACCCGTTGTAACAGCTAGAAACCTGTCTGGACGTCTAACCTTAGTTGTTTTGGAATGGATACTCACGTCGGAGCGGGCTTTTCCATTTTTCAGGGAGCGTATATCAGTACCAGTACCAGTGTATTTCAGTGATAGTATGTGTGTACCTTCGAAATCCCTATTGGTTACATGCAGAGGAAGTATAAGGAGAAAATGGAAAGGAAGTAACATGAAAGAAATACAAGGGGAAATACAAAAACTGCACAGATGAACACATAATGTCATGCATTAACAGAATTTAGAGGCAAATGAACTCGGTTAGTTGATTTAATGCAGCAGACAGTTGAAGCACACTTAAGATACAGGAAAAGAAGTAAAACTACAGGCATCGTGGTGAATGCGAGCAACGGTGTGCGACGTAGTTCAAAATTAATAAATTACATAAACATATCTTACTTGAATGTTGGTAGTAGCATCATAAGAACACTAAATCGTCAAAGTTGGCTATCTAGGTGGCGGAAGTCCGGCGTTATTGCGGTACGCGCTCCAATGTTGATCTAGCCTTCGTTAAAAAGTATCTACGGTTCCCGACATAACAGCATCTTCAGGCAAGGCATTCCAAGCTGCAACCACTTTGTTGGCGATGAAGAACCTTCGTGTGACTAGCCGGGCACCAGTCACACGCAGTTTGAGTGGATGGCCTCTCAGGTTAGTCGTAGTCGCCAACTCGAAGAAGTCTCCAGGTCCGAGGCAGCAGCCCCGATTACGCACGATGCGGAAAGCTTGCATCAGGTCCCCACGTAGCTGTCTGTAACTCAAAGGAAAGAGGTCAAGATTAGCTAATCGTGTTTCGTAGGGTAGTGACCACTGCCCAGATACAAGTTTCGTTGCTCGTCGTTGAACCTTTTCGACTATGCCGAGGTCTTTAACGGCCCAGGGTCTCCATGCTCGGATAGTAAACTCCAGATGCGGTCGCACGAAGGTTCGAAAGACCTTGGCGAAGCAGTCTTCATCAAAGGAAAAGGACGCCCGTTTGACGACGTAAGGAATGGACATCGCCGACTTGGCCACCTTTGGACATTGTAACGAAGCATTAAGCGAGGTTGTGATCCATACACCCAAGTCCTTCTGGGCGTCGACTTCTTGCAGTGGTTTGCCAGTCAGGCGGTAGGCCGTGTGGTTAGGAGAACTGGTTCCACTGACGCGTCGGAAGGTACATTTGTTTACGTTGAACGGTAGAAGCCAGTCCTTCGACCATTGCTCGAGGTGGTCCAGATTTGTCTGCAGTCGCGCCTCGTCTACTTCCCTTCGCACGGTACTCCAGATCTTTATGTCATCAGCAAACATTGCGACATCGCAATCCAGTTCGTTTGCGCAGTCGTTGACGTATACGAGGAACAGTGTAGGACCAAGAACATAGCCTTGGGGAACACCACTCCTAACGGCAACCTCGGCAGATTACTGGTCACTGACGTGGACGGCTTGAGAGCGGCCGAGTAAAAAGCTTCGAATCCACATCAGAAACTTACCTGGCACTCCTGCACGGCTGAGTTTGTATAGAAGGCGGTGGTGAGGCCTACTGTCAAAGGCCTTTTTAAAGTCGACATAGATGACATGCACTATATCTCCTCTATCAACAGCCCTAGTCCAGTGTTCCAGACAGTAGGGCAAGTTTGTCACACGGGGTCTGCCTTTTCGTAATCCATGCTGGGAATCGGAAAGCAGATGGTTTTGTTCAGGGAACTGTATGAATTGTTGCTTTATTATCTTCTCCATAATCTTACAGCAAATGGAGGTGAGGCTGACAGATCTGTAACTGTTCTCAGAGACCCGACTTCCGCCATTGTACAGCGGCGTAATCCACGCCGACTTCCAGTCGGATCGCAGATATCCGGTCTCGAAGGATGTATGGAGAAGAATGGAGAGTGGCTTAGCAACTCACTGGCGAATTCCTTCAAAATTTTCGCAGGAATCTCATCGAGACCTGGTGATTTGGGTTCCTTTAGCCTCAACAACTCCGTCAGAACCATACCATCAGTGAACTTAACGGTATCCATAATTGTGGTGTCTTCGAAGGGTTGAAGGGCCGAAGGGTTGAATCCTGTTTCGCTACTAAAGACAGACCAAAAAAATTCTGAAAGGTGATCAGCTTTTGCTCTGTCATCAGTGAGATGTTCACCTTCAGAAGTTTTTAGTGGTGGTATTAGGTCCTTGTTCCGCGTACACTGCCTTTTGTAACCGTGGAATAATTTAGGATTCTCCGCGGTACGGTTAAGCAGATCCCGTTCGAATTTCCTTCCAGGTTTGAGGATAAGGCCCTTGGCTCGATTTCTTTATATTTCGTACGCGCATAGAGATGTGGGGTTCCTGTCAGAAAGCGACTTTTTCCACAGCCTGATTTTTTATTCACTTCATTCTTCAAGGCTTGCGTAAGCCATCGGGGTCTGTTAGTTAACCTCATCCATGAAAGCGGACAGTGGTTTACGATCAGTTCGTGCTGAATTTCACGGAACCGTTGCCAGTCTTCGACTATGCTTCCAACAAATACGGACTCCCACTCAATGCGTGAAATTTCAGCCCTCATTTTGTCGAAATCCCTGCGCCAAAGGTTTCTTCTAACTGTCACGGGTTTCTCGGGCATGGAAAAATGCGAGAAATCCCATAGAAGAACAGCGTGGTCACTTTAAGCTAAAGGGGGTAGGCATGACATCTCATCAATGCTGTCCTGTGACTTCGTAAGGACAAGATCAAAGCAGTTGACTTGTTGACCTACGCGTACTCTTGTTGGTAACATGACGCGTTGAGTGAGAAATAACTTCAGTGCCGTCTTCAGAAAACTCCTATCGAAGGTCTGTTCTGAGCTATTTGCATGGGTCGAGCTCCAGTCAATATGAGGCGCGTTAAAGTCGCCCATGATCAGAATATCCGGCCGCGTAACGAACTTTTCGAGTTTCTCCAGCAGGCAAGTTTCGGCTATGTTGTCCAGTCTCGGCGGTCGATAAACTGTGAGAGGCTAGGCGAGCTCGGCACTTTAACGGACAGCCAGATTGCCTCGGAGCTACACGAAAATGTATCGGTTTTGTCTGACACATTTATCCCATTTTTCACATACGCGACTACGCGTCCTCGCTAACGCCCTTCCCTATCTCTGCTAAACATCTGGTAGCCAGGCAAGGCCAACTCACGGTTGTCCACGTGTTGGGTCAACCAGGTTTCTGTTAAAGAGATTACGTCAAGGGATAAATCGCAGAGGTGGACCTTTAGCTCGTCGAACTTTGATAGCAAACTCTGCACGTTGGTGTAAAATAATTTCAATTTCCGTCTGACGGAAGATGTTATTACATTTTGGTTAGCGCCTTCACTCAATATGTCGGCTGCGCGGTCATTCGGACCGGACCTTTCCAAGGAAGATTGACGGACGCCGCCGTACTTGGTTGTTCTATGTAACTAAATTGTTCTCCCCCTCGCTGAGCCTCTTTCTCGGAAGTCACCTGTGGAGGAACAAACTCCTGCCAACCTACGATAAGTCGTTCTGGTCATTTTTTCCGTTTCACACTGATTCCTCTTTTTGTGATAGTTTTCCATCATTTTTTTAAGTTGATAAGGAATTATGCTTTTTCTTTTGCTATCCTACTTCGTATGATGTCCCGAATGCCTGTGTCTCCTGACTTTTCACATTCCGAGATTCAAGAACTCTAAGACAGTATCCTTGAAGTATTCGGCCGCTCTGAGATTAAAAAATCCACACCCCCTCCAACACCATTCGTGAGTCGACAACGCTTTCTCGCTCGGGCGTCATACCACTGACGTGCACGTTCTACGGTATTTGTGCTCCTACTGCGTTCCGACTGGCTCACTTTGCAGTCGGTTCAGTGTCGGTGACCATGACCGTCCAGCTACCTTTCTGGGGGACGGTACTTGGTTATTTTAGGTTGCTTAAACCTCTTCTCGATTTGCACGCTCGTTGTATTACCAGGTTGGCCTACATGTAAACAAGTTCCTTTACGTTTAGCGATTTTCGGCCAAAATACTTCTTGCGTGTTTTCAATGTGCCCCATCAGTAAAAACCGTATTACCACCGTTCACGTATTATACGCACTTGTGACTCAGTTTTTGAGGCCCGACAGCGTATCCGAGCCTTGTCAAACGTTTTATAACCGCAGCCACCTACCTACTTCAGCGCCCGCCGTACCTGTTGAATGAGATTACTGTCTCTCTTTCTCCAAGAAACTCCAGCTGGTATTGCTTACTCTAAACAGGGTCTAATAAACGTACCAAATATCCACGCGAAGAGTACTAGGGGTAGGAAAACGAAGGCACGTCTAATCCAGTGCATGCTCTCAGTTGCTCTGTTGGCCACTCTTACTGTGTTCTGACGGCATCAAGTGTTCAGTAGTCCAAAAGCCTAGATCCTCGTGTACCTGTACAGCTTCTAATAGGATCCAGCTGAGATAATACTGCTGATTGAGAAAATGACAATGACCATTTTTTCGGTTTATTTGGTGATGATAATAGACAAGGCCTTCGAAAACCTTATTGCTTGCACGTCGATGTGTTATATACAGTTGTGCACGCATTCTGAAAAACTGTCGCGACTAAAAATGATGTCCAGGTAATTTAAGTAGCATTGCTTTCTGGACAAACCCGTATCTGGAGTTGGAGTGTATTTATTTTAGGTCCCGAGTGTCGAGGAAAAACAAAGGATACACATAATTATTCAATCATTTCTCACTGAGCTGTTGGAACGTCGCCTTCGCAACTGATTAGGGGAGATCACTCGTAGTTATTTTACCCCTTAAATGAAGAGTTGGAATCTAAGGTCCAGTATGGCTATATTTGTGCTTAACGTCATTGAGTGCCATCGAAGATGAGACAAAAGATGCCACTGAATCATGCCCTCAAAGCGCAGTCCTTGGTCCAGACAATGTATTGTCTTGTAAGCTAAGATCAACTCTATGGTGCATGTAGTACAAAGAAAATAATTTATCCTGACCCGCTTTTCGAAAACCCGATGATCTCGGTTGAATTCGAACATGCGATAGAAAGGTGAAGGCCTGAAGGAACACCTGTTTGGACAATCGGCTTACTGTGGCAGATTTAGCGGATTCATTTCGTTGCAGTAGGCTGGGCCGGTAACTTGATCCAAATATGGTTAAAATTACTTCTCCCGGTGAGACCTCGTAGCTCGGGTGGCTAGAGCTCTGGCTGTACTCCGGCTTTCCTCTTACTCTCATAGGTTCAAATCCAATCAAGGTCGTCGAGTTTTCCTGAATCTGACAAAATCTATCACAACACCCGTTAAAATGGGAAATACTTCCAAACGCTTCAGTCCTTAAGATACAGTCGATACTCTAGAACTTTTAAAAGCTTGGTTGCGCTACGTTGCACCTATTCGAGACATGTTATGTCCTTTACGGGTTGTGGTCTTGGCGTCTGTACGCCATACTTTAGGTGAGGCCGAACGCAGACGCGCAAACTTAACTGAAGTAGCCTCTATCGATATCAACGAACGTTCTTTTGATGGCGTGCAGTATTTCCATGCCCTTTTTTGCAACCTTGATACATTGTTATGATGGGTTTAGATTGTCCTGCATCCAGACCTCGAGGTCCTTCCGCGAAGACTCTACGGAAGTTAAATTTCTGTCAGGCCATGTGTCCCCATGCTGTCGTTCGGATAGTTGTTTAAACACAGATGGAAGGCGGCAAATGTTTTCACACTGAAACTTAGACGCTGTTACTCGGACCATGTCCGCTGAGGAGACTTTTGATCATTTTGACCCTAGACGAATTGCCATAGCCTAACGTCATCGGCAGGTATGATCTTACGGCAGTCGAGTCCCCAAATGTCAGCAGTAACATAAAAAATGAAAGGTAGGGCCACAGAATCGAGCCTTGAAGAACACCAATAGTCACATTCACCCAGTCCGATTTGCTTTCTTCGATACAGACGCGTTGTTTTTGTCCAACCAGAGATTCCCGTATCCAGTTCAGAAGCTTTCTCCTGATGCCAAGGGCACTCAGTTTATTCGTGAGCCGTTGATGTGAGACAGTCAATGGCTTTGCGAATGTCGATCTACACTACGTCTCCTTCGATGCCCTCTGATAAAGCGCTGCTTTAGACCTCCAGAAAAGTCGGTAGATTTTAGAGACAGAAACATTCTCGCTGAAAACCATGCTAAAAATTTTGTGAGATGTCATTCTTATCGCAATGCTGTTATATGCAATGCTTTACAAGAATTTTCACTGTTTTGCAAGAACGACAAATCAGGCTAATAGCCTAAAACCGCTTACCGCCTTCCTGCTACCTTCATCACAAAAGGAAGCGACAAGAATGAAGTATATGCGCGGGGCAAGGAAAAACTATAGCGAACTGCCTGCTAAGTTTTTCCAACGAAATGCTGTTCTGCAGAGCTTTTGGTCGGCTCTTCGTCGACAGGATGACATTTGCTGACCCATACCACCCCGAGGAGCCACTGATGTCGAAATTTCTGCATTAGTTCACTGTCCTGCACTCCCCACGCGTAATTCTTTAGTAAGCGGAAAGCCCAGTCTTAAAAAGGTTTCGGCGCGGAGAGCAGCCGGGCGGTAAAAATGCTCTAAATAATGGTAGATGGATGCATACGTCTGCCAATATTGCGGGATTGTTAAAACGCCAGTGAATTTGCCAAACAACGGTTGGCATTTTCCCACCCGCGCATATGCTTAACCGTTGCCAAAGAAACTATGTTGACCGTCTTCTACTGCGAGAGCAAGCCCCCTGTTTTCATTTACAGCTCGAAGAAAAATCAGGGAGGACCTGCCTGCTCTGCCGATACTTCCTTAAGTGCCAGATCAGGGAATCCATCGGGCCCAGAAGACTTGTCCGACTTAATTTAACTGAAGGCCCGGCCTACTTCCTCGGCGGAACGGCGACGGTCTCACTGACGGAAGACCCTTAACTCATTCCAAACTTTAGATTTTAATCGGGAATCCCACGGAAAAAAGATCCAAACTGCGCATTTCGGGATAACACGTTCCCACCGCTATCCTCTAAACCCTCGATCTCCTCCCTTCGCCTCTTGTGGGCGTACGCATAAAACTTCTTGGGATAAGTAAGGACTTCTGCTGTCAGCCAGTGCTCGAAGGAAGTTCTAAAACAACTTATATGGTTGCGACATTCATCCCGTTGCTCTTTTTACTAAGGAACTTATATAGGATCTCGATGATCAAAGTTCCTTTTTTCACAAATTGTGTTTTTTCCCTATGTCCATACTTATCATCAGATCGGTCTACTGAGGTAAGGCGCCTGGATTTATTATTTTCATTGAACAATGGGCTCCAATTTGTAGTGGGCAGCCATCATGGGCGGCCTAGAGTCACTTCCTAGCCATTGCCGCCTGAGAGGACAACTCCGGGTTCTATATGCAATAAACCCCTCATTCTGGTTCCTTCTATCTTTTCCTACACGATGGGATTTGACCTGATGATCGTAGCGCACAAACAACACACATTCCCACTGCTGTGCCGATATCAATTAGACACACCGTAACTGCCTGAAAATGCTGACAGAAATACTTTGTATCGTTAGTGTTAACTGATTAGTTTCTTCCGAGACAGCACGTCCCATTGCCTCCAAATCACCCTTAATAATATCTCTGCAACTCTTTATGTTGGTCGACAAAGCCAAATGGCGGTTGTGAGCTCACTTCCCATGTGGCTCGCTCTTTTTTTTACCTAAAGCAATATCTATGCAGTTGAATTGCTGTTGCTCTATGTGTTGAATGGAATATTCGTCCAGCGAAGACCGTAATAATTTGTGGACGAATAGTGTGAATGGGGCGTTTAGTACGGGGATGTTCTAGTCCATTTAAAGGGGGTTAAAACTGTCCAAGAGTAACAAATTATCCTGTGAACATTTAACTTCAGTGAAATTAATAACTCCACGTCGGCTGTTTAATTCGAGCTGGAAGGCCGATGGACAATGCACAGTGTAACTGCCGCCAATAGTCTGATCTCAATTTTGCATAAAATTATGTCATAATTTCGTAGTAATACGCCGGATATTTTCCGCTGATAACAAGAAATATCATTGGATATAAATTGCAACGCCTCCTGCTTTATATTGAAATCTGTAACAACGGAACACTCGACAGCCTCCGGTGTTAATTCCGCTGCTCCTTATTCCTTCGATCAACCAGGTCTCTGACAATATTGTGTGGGGTGTCTGCTCGGAGTCCAATAATTTGAGTTACCAGAGCTTGTTAAAGAGACTCGGACAATGTGGACTCGGACTTGTGGATTTCTGGACAGCGGCCAGTGTCCCAGTAAGCATTTTAAAAACCGATGCAAATACGATTATCCCATCCCTCTTGTGCAAGATATTTAATCTTGCTCTTTAAAGTGAAACTTATCCTACCTTGTGGAAAGAATCACACATTTTGCCCTTTCCTATGCACGGCAAATCTACATAATTTGATGACTTTCGGCCAATAAACACCCTCCCCGCAGATTCGAAGATCTTAGAGACTTTTGATCAAGGATAAGATGATGCGTCACTTAACAGTGAATAACCTGCTCAGTGCTGCTCAGCATGGATTCCTCAAAGCTCGGTCTTGTGACACCTATCAACTCTCTTTCTTTGACGATGTTCTCCAATCTAGGGACAATGGTTTTGCACTTTACACAGTATATTTCGATTTCACTTAGGCTTTTAATCGTGTGAGCATGCTCTTCTTCTCTTGAAACTCTCTTCTTTCGGAATAGGTGGAAAACTTCTGAATTTTATATACATTTACCTGGGCACTCGTGCACAACGCGTTAAGATTTCCAATACTATCTCCAACCCCACACGTGTAGGAGTGGAGTCATTCAGGGAAGTGTACTCGGCCCGCTTTTATTTTGCCTTTTCGTTAATGATGTACCCGATTTATTTCAGAATGGTAAGCCTTTCATGTATGCCGATGATCTTAAAGTTGCATATCGATATAAGCCGGCAGATCGTGACATCGTGCTTGAGCTCCTAAAGAGCGATCTACAGGCTTTCGCCCAGTGGTGCCGCACATGGCGCCTTTCTCTTTCTTGGCATAAGTGCTCAGCCATGGTGGTTGGCGACGACCATCAACCTCAACTAAATATTGAAGGACACGCCATAAATGTGCCTGGGGTTATTAAGGATCTAGACGTATCATACTCCATGAGTCTCAATCTCTCGGAGCACTGTGCCTTGATAGTCTCCAAAGCAGGCAGAATGACCGGTTTTATCCTCCGAAACTTTAAAACTAGGGACATTAGAATGCGCCTTTACAACATGTACGTTAGACCTGGTCTGGAATACTGTTCGTTTTTATTTAGCCTCATGCGTGCTACCGAGCGGAAGAAAACAGAATCCGTTCAACACTTTTTTACCAAGAGAATTTTAGCCGCGGAACACCGACATTTGTCTTACCAAGAACGTTACCGGCTTACGGGCCTTGATCCTTTATGGTTCCGTAGATTACAAAATGGACTATTTTTGTTATTTAAACTCTTATATAATCACACATTTAACCCACTCACCTCTTTAAGACATCATATCCACCCACGACGGAACACTCACCGTGAGGTCTTTTTATTTCTTCCTCAGCACGTACTACTAAATATCGTCGGTTCTTTTCTGTAAATGCAATTGCTATTTGGAATAAACTACCCATGAGTGTGAAAACTATGCAAAATTTTCCCTTATTTAAGAGAACTATTACTCGGTTTTTACACTCAGAAAAGCTCCAACAAGCTTAAGTGCTGGATGCACTGATTGACTCTACGGTAGCGATGGCGTTTGTGGTCTCTGAACACTATGGCTGGTCTCACCAGGAACATTTTCGTTGGTCAATAGCGACAATTGTTCTTCGGCGACTCTATTTTGACTATCCCCAAATTCATGAAAGGAATTGACGTCTAATAATCTCCGATACCGTGCACCCCCCCCCCCTTCTTGACGGTCGAGAGCTTACTAAAAGCTCCCACACATTTTGGGTGCTGAATTCACCGATCGAATCTACCGTAGCGAATGCGTTTGTGGTCTCGGACCACTGTGGCCGGTCTTACCAAGGACAATTTTTTGGCCAACAGTGACAGCTGTTCTTCGGCGCTTCTGGTTTAACTAACTATAACCTCATGAAAGAAAGTGGCGACTGATAATATCCAAATCTTTGTAATCCCTCCCTTCTTGACGGTGGAAAGTTTTTCGCCTGCATTTTTTTTCTCCTGAATCCTCCAAACCATAAAAACCACCGACAACTATACTTTTATCCCCTTTCCACAGGAGTTTTATTTCACTGCTGGCCGAATTTGTGTTAAACGTTTCCCCGACGATGCCTGTCAACTGGCATTAAATAAAATTATTATTGTATTTCTGATCTATGGGGTTTGGACATTTGTCCTTCGATTATTAGAAGACAAGATTGGCGTCGTCGATAGCCATGCTGAACGGGACGTAGAAATTTCCTCTGCATTGCTTGGTGAATCGTTGTATGCGACTTCATGACCTCTCGTAAGTTGCGGGTTAGACTAATTCAATGATAATTTCCCGGAACTAATTTGATTCTACCTTGTGCAACGAGGAGTTGAAGGGAACCCTCAACAGCACTTCACCCTCCTTACTGCGCCTTTACAATAAAATAGAAACTAGTTTACAAAAATCATCGTTAAACCCTTAAAAGCTAGTTGAGTGTATTCTTTCTAGACCACTTGACCTGGAAAGTTTCGAACAAAGTATTTCAGTAATCTCAGGTCTCTGCTTGTTGTCCTCCCGCCTGTTGTTCTTCACATTTCTGTTCGGCTCTACTCAGGGCTTGAGCTGGACATTGTTCGCGATCTATCGAAGTGTCAGTACAATATTACGATGTCCCTCGTTTTCGGACAACTGTTGCTGCCAGACTATCTGACACGGGTCCTCGGACCTTTGATAACCCTATGCATATTTAACAACATTTGTTTTATTGGGCTCACAATCAAACAGTAGAAACGAACTGTCGGTTGTTCGTTACGTCATCTATATAGGGTGCGCCTTTCTCTCATGTTGGTGCGCGATTTATAAGCTCATTTTTATCTATCATTTTAAGTCTCAAAATGCTCTTTTAATTTGTCACGTTTCAGGGGGTTTTTCATCACCATCTAAAACTTCCATCTGTCCTTACGCGAGTTTCACATACATGGAAAACCGCTGTATGGCAGCGCATCCCTTGCTTATTTCCGAATATCTTGTACGATCACTGCTCGGTAGTTAGGTTGGCCATGCCTACGACCTTTGTGCCCACGGTTTTAGAAATTGAACTGGGTTTCCATTTTGTGTTGGACGTTGATTGAGTTTATGCTAACGTCATCGCAACCCCCCCCCTCCCCGGGGAGTAGAGGTGATACTTGTTAGAGGTGGCAAACAGTCTTCAGTTTTGTTTGGGTTCCGCACCTATGCAGTTTGCCGCGGAAGGGATGGCGACATTATTTGAGTAATCTCATATTCGAAGCGTTTGATTGGCCTAACCTGAGCAAACCATTTATCGGACACTTGAGGGTTGCAAATTCTGAGATGGAAGTTGGCTTCTCTTAATGAACGCGTATGCAACCACCGTTTATCTCTTGGGAATTCCTTAGTTTTATTGTTTAAAAGTTATAAACTACTCAGGTTACTGTCGCTGAACGTCTGGAGTTTTCTTACTAATATCATTTCTAGACTTCGCCTGTCTTTTGATCATAGTGTCTTAGTAGTTAGTGCGTCTCATGCTTAACTTGGCGCGACTCATTGTATAAAAGCTGGTTGATCCGAGTATTATGATCTATGCCACAACATCCACGAAAAGCGACGCACCTTGCGGCCCTGGTCTACGGTGATGAGCGATTAGTATGCGAGCATGACTACTCAGTCCATAAGGGCTTCCTGGTCTCGGATGTCGGAGTGTGCGAATGTTTCTCGATCGTGGCACTAACAGTCCGACGGCGTGCATCACGAATTACATTTTTGTCACCAATCTAAAGTGCACGTTTCATATTGGAGTTCTCGCAGAGTCAAGATCCCGAAAATTTAATTGCACCTCACAACGGCCCGTGCGACTGCCAGCCATAGTGTGACAATCGCCTTCTGAGGACAAACAGACCGTGAGTCATTTGCGTTATAACTAATAAATCAACGGTTAACGTGCTAACAGCTAAAAGAACACTTTATTAGCACTTTTTTCCGCCCGCAAGCGGACCGCCTGCTGGCCACCGCGATAAATAAACGCCCACAGTTACAAGCATCTGTTTCAGGATCCTCGTCGTGATCCACCAGCTATTAGTGGGAATTTTAATTGTTGGGATGGGCCAGACGACTCTTCAGTCAACCATCGACTCGACAATGGTGAAGGGGTATTGTGCTTTCCTGTCCAGAATCGACTCGTTGTCACTAACGCATTCTTCTGACATCGCCACGTACATTTGCTAACCTCTCTAGACAGTTCAGGACTTGTTAAATGAGTTCATAACAAAAGCCGGGTGTGCGGTGCCTGTGGGTCAAGTCATGTTTTAACTCTCACATGCCTGAAACGCCACGTGCAAGGCGCCTCGACGTCGCAAAATTGCAATGACTCGACCCGACTGAAGTATTGAGCACAGGAATTCGGTCCTGTCTTGCAGTCAAATTAAAAAAGGATTGTATCAGACGGTCTTCGTTTAAGTCCTCAGGTGAGAGGGTTTCCGACTTTGCCCAGCAGTGCCGTCACAACTGGATTGGGGTTCGAATCTTACAATTGCCTGCCCAGACAACTCGTGCTGTCCTACAACAATGATTTATTCCATAAACTCTGGACAATGACAACAGAGTCGGCTGCAGATAGCCGAAAAGACGTTGGGATGGAGCGCCGACCTCCGTCGAGCAGACTCCAAACGTTGGCCATATTCGAAAGTCATAACTGCCTATCTGTCATGTTTATGGCAAATCCCTTGCGTGCGACGACTGTCTGCGAAATGAATGACGGACTCATTGCTGATAACTCGGCCACGGTCGAGTGCTAAAACGAGGGCGCCGAGGGCCTTTTTCACTTTGACGTCGAAGCCTACGCCGCTTCTCTCTTTGAGTGGAATTTTATCCCTCTCCGACGTACGTCGTATCATGTGACGATACCACCTAGAGACATATCGGCCAGAGCCCCGAGACCGAGTGACAGAAAAGCCTCGGGAGAGAGCGGCGTCCATGTCAAAGGCTTTCGTCAACAGCTTGGCGTCTTGGTTCCATGAGGAGCTTGCGCAAGCATGGGCATGTGTAATCGTTCCTGGCGACCCAATTGTCATTCAATCATTCAGACAATGTATTTGACCAACTTTCTGTGTCAACTGACTGCAACAAACAGTTTCGTCAGGCCGGATAGTCACTGCTTTTTACAGCAGCGAAACACATTTTTCATGGTTGATTTATTGTGGTTCAATCCATGATGACTGGTGACTTCAAGTTTAATCAGGGTCCAGGAACCGTCTCAAGATTTTGGTGGACTCTGATAGATCAGGTTTTGAACTGACAACTTCAGCGTCGCTCTTAGCCATTGGGGCTTCTAAATTTTGGGCAGCAGTATTGGACCCGTAGGGTGTCACAGTGTATTAGTCCGGACTGCGCCACCTTTTTGGACGGTTTGATGCATCCTTGCCATATTTTCGTAACAAAAAGACTGCTGCTATGAGAGATTGATCCTTTTTTCTCCATTTCCACAACTTGAGTCTGCATTATCTCAAAAGTCCACTATAACTGGAGGCTGGTTATCACAAAATTGTTCCAAAACTTCTCGAGTTTGCTTGTCTTTCGCACCTATAGCGCGACGTTAACAGCCGCAGAGTGTAATTAGCTGGACAGATGTCTGATACGCGCCAACATTCACGGTATCTGAAGTATTACGTCTGGCACGTAGACGCCCTTGAGGACTGACAAAAGTCATGTGTCGGCAGCATCATTTGGATGACGGTATCGTCTCTGTTTTATTCGTTAACTGCGAATCAGTTGCTGATGGCGTAGCCGGTGATTAGAGTCTGGGTTGCACTCACCCACTATCATGGGCAACAGGAGCCATTTCAATCTTTCGTATGTACGAGTAATAAAATAACCGAAGTGTGCCCAAAAACCACGTTCTCTAAAGCAAAGGTGGTTTCCTCTGGACTCCGCCCTCGAATTATAGGTAATGTCGTTGTAGACATTAAAGCTTCTGAGCCAAGGGCAAACTCTTGGCTACTTGAATCGAAGTCTCTCGCTCAGGAAGTATAAGGAAAGCATCAGCTCTCCGATCAGTCTGGCAGACATAACCTTCGAATGTATGAAAACCTCTGAATTCACACCTTTCTTTTCGTCGTTCAGTCAGACAGCGAGCTAAGCTCTAGGTATGCGAGCCTTGTAAAAAGTTATGTCTAGTTAGTCGCGCTTACATGGCGTTTGTCGAATTCTCCAACCGAGTTTTCAACGGCTACTTGATTGTACGGTCACCGACGGTGCGCATTTTTCTACCTGGTGTTCTTGAAGCTTCCAGAACTCGATATATGTAAACTATCAGCTTCCATGAATTAAATTTTGAGTAGAAGACAAAGGAGGTCACAACCTTGGAGTCCGACAAAACCGTGCCCCTTCACCAATCTTTACTGCTCCTTGCTACAGCAGGCGATGACTACTATGGCGCCCAAGTAGGGCAGCACTACGTTTTTGACTTTGAATATACAGTGACTGATCGATCTCATGAAATGTTGGCCGAAATTCTGAAATGCGTTTCCGATTAGGAAGGATTACTTAGGTGGAGTTGTAATATTGATTATTGTGTAGCATAATCCTATGGTATTTCGGACTCGTAGGATCTCGGATTTTGAATGCACTTCTTTTCGGCCTCCTGCAGAGACCACACCCGGTAAAAAGTAGCTCCTTAAGCAGCATGCATTTTCCAAATTGATTTTCGATGGTCATATAACTTTAACCATATTTTATAGAAATCATGCACAAAAATATGCTTTATTTTACTCGTTTAATTACATTACCTACACATTTTATACTTGAAGAAGGAATATCTTCTGCTTTTAAAAAAGTTTTCAAGCATGAGTTTTTTTAGGACCGTGTGATGTCCATGCATGCAACATCGTAAATGTCCGTTTGCCTATGCTCCTCACGAAATGTACAACATAGTCCGCATCCGTTGCAAAATTTTATGAACTCTTTATCGTATCTTCGTAAAGGCATAGAGGAGTGTATGATTCTCCTTACGCAGAAAGCATACACATTGTAGACTGAAATCGCTACACGCTAGTGCAACGGCTGGTCAGGCTCGAAATTATTCAGGAATTGGGAAACCATTTTTCAAAACCTAGATCTACACTTTTAGTGTATAAAATATGAAGGCAATGTGATTTTCTACCGAACGAGTAAAATAAAGCATATTTTGTGCATGCTTTCTGCAAAATATACTTGAATTTACAAGACCATCGAAAATCAATGCAAAAATTGTACGCAACTTAAGTAGTCATTTTTTACCGAGTGTGGTCTCTGCAGGAGGTCAAAAAGAAGTGCATTCAAAAGTCGAGATCCTGGTGAGTCCGAAATACTATAGGATTATGCTGCACGATAATTAATATTACAACCCCACCTAAGTAGTCATTTCTAATCGAAAACGGATTTCAGAATTTCGGCCAACATTTCATAAGATCGATCACACGCTGTACCTGCAAAATTGTCTTGCCTCGGACCATAGTCGAGGAAACGCAATCCACAATTGTCCGGTTCATCTACCAATCCCGGAACTTTTGCTAGAAGTTAAACTCCTTTAAAATCTGCGACATTCTGTTGTAACAAGAAATGCGAAGCAGTCTACTATTTGGCCTGTTTTAGTTCCTCTTTAAAAAGGAGTTAAGACCCCGAATTCAACGTCTTTGCATGTTATCTGCGAAGTATTTGTAATCCCACCAATTCTGAAATTTTTCGCATCGGAGGAGTACTGCAGTTTTATTGTACTAGCCCATATGCTAGTGTTTGTTAGAGTTCTATCAGACGAACTCTTTGGCTGGGCAGACGACATAGCGACCGCTCAAATAATGCACAGGAGAGGATCCTTTATGATTGCCACAACAATCGTCTGTCTCATCTTCGCGATAGGCGACAGAAGATCCTATTGCGACTTGCATCCGATCGATACAATGCTCAAGCTGTTCTGTATTCATCTGATAAAATGTCGCTGGTTACTTTAGATATAGCAGTTCTCCCGAACCTAGGAGTTTTTTCTGCCAGGAACCGCCAAAACTGGCTATTTAACTATCAGTAGAATTCGATGGGTTTTCTCGGCCGTTAACAGCGCAAGGCGCTTTTCTTTGAGATATATTATCCTAAAAACGTCAAGTAACTTGTGGAGGACGAGAATTTCGTCGAATGCCAAACCCCTCTGTGCTCTGCCGAATGCATAATGACGTGGCTACACCGATCTGTAGTTGGCCATGCCAATAGCTCTGTCAATCTGCGAATCCACACGAGGGTTCATAAAGACATTGACTGTAACATTCCCTCTCGAATGCAATTACTTTTGTATTTTTTTAGATATTGGAAGCCATTCGTTTGGTTGACAAAATTTGTCTGTAAAAGGACCTGGTGTAAAGGCTCTTTTTCTAAAGATCCCAACCTATCAGCGGAGACGAGATTCCGTAACCGCATACTTGCAGTTTTTTGTTTTGGGAAAAGTGTTTTCTAACCACTTACGTGTGTTTCGTTTTTCCCTACGAATTTTCGAGATTTGACAGCGTAGTCCTGGCCATAGGTTTAGGTCTTCTCATATAAATAAGCAGAGAAGAGAGCCCTATGATAACAACCGGAGAAGGAAAAAGGCAAACCCCGGGAAATATCTGCATCTTTCGTGCAAAAATTGCCTCACTTTACTGTTTTTTCTTCTTTTCAGCTGGCCGCCCAAATGCCTTCATCAGGGTCCTTCCTGATAGCTGTTATTTCATTCCTCTTCTGGACCACCGCACTGGGTAGCACAGACACCGCCCAAACTGAGGAATCTGTCTTCTGTGGCAATCAAGAATGCACAAAATCCATTCGTCTAGGATGGTTGATAAGGGGCTTCAACTTTGCGGACACATTTCTCCCTGAAGGCACCGATGTTGACATTCTCGGTGAGCATGCTCTGCACCCGAATATTCTTCTCGTCCGCTACGGGGATAAAACCTTCTACTTAGACAGTAGTCTAGTGCGCCAAGGCGAAACTCTTGTGCCCTCATTTTACAGGACGGTGATACCTAGAGTGCCGTTACAGCCAGAATTTTCTGAATCGCCAGAGTCAGCCGCTGCTGGAGGCAAGCCAGCTTCCACTCTGCCTGAGCACGCCACTTCACGAGGAACTGCGTCGGCCCAGCAAGTGAAGACAGAGAATGTACATTCTTCCTCACCCCCGCCTGAAGAGCCTAAAGTTCTGCAGGCGCAGTCGAATTCTCCATCTAAACAGCCTTCAAGACCCTCAACGGAGCTGGTAAATGAATCAGAACAACATACATCGCCTCCAAAACAGGCGACGCCTGAGGCTGCTGCTGACAAAATGCCCAATCAACAGAAGCAGGCGGCCAAATCAAGTGCTGAAGACACTGTGAAGGTGTCAGATTTCACATCACAATCTGCTAAGGCTACACAAGAGTCCGCTGTTCGGGAGCCAGTGAGTAACGAAAAGCTATCCGATGACGCCAACTCCGTGTCCTCGCCATCTCATCCTCCTATTGAACCCACGAAACAGCTAGAGATGCAGAAGGAAAAGCTGGCATTATCGGGGTCTCCAAAAGACGCTCCTAGAGATATCCGGGATGATGGCAGCCACACCGGTACCCAGTCTCGTCTATCCGCCGCTCAGAATCAGCCGCCTGTCGGCAAGGAGATTGAAACGAAGGATAAGCCGCTGCAGCAAAAAGCCGTGGTCACTGATGAACTTCATGTCGAGTCTGTCCCCAAGGAGCCGTTGCAAACTGAAATTCTGGTTGATCCTGTTGTTGCCCATGAGACTGTATCTAAACACCCTGAACCGGCAAACCACTTGCCGGTTGAGACTGGTGCTAATGTCGAACAGTTGCGGTCTATAGAAGAAACCGAGCGGCCACCATCGCCTCCGCAGACTCAACCTTCTGGAGAAAAGGCACTCCCTACAGCAGAAAGTAAGTCATTACGCGAAGACGCACATGCCAGCGCTGTGGTTGAGAGCCAAGTTTCAGAATCTTTGTCTTCCGGGTATACGCCAGCATCATCAAATGATCAAGAAATACCTCCCTCTTCCGCGGCTTTTCAGAAGCCACACGATAATGTTGCCTCTAAAGACTTGTCAACAGTTTCAGATACTTCCGAGCCGTCGTCTGAGTCAGCCAAGCTTGAAATGTCCGACCAGAAGACGGAGGAGGAAACCCCTGCTGATGAACTAAAGGAAAACTCGAAGTTACGGCTGTCATCACCACCCGCGGTTAAAGACCCGTCCTCGGAGGATGTCAAGACAGTCGAAGAACCTACTGTCGCAGTCGTCTCGGAAGGTCCTTTGGATAGTGACCGTGAAAAAGACCAAGCAGTGCCTGTCCCTCCCCCTGACAAGGGATTTTCGTCTGAATCCACCGAGTTTAAACCGTCCGGAGTGTTGCCCCATCCTGTGTCACTTGAAGGCGAGGACCCTGATAGTTCACCCATTTCAGAAGCAAACGAAGCTACTTCCTCCTTCAAACCCGAGTGTAGCCCTGAAGACTCATCGCCGCATACTACAGCCCCCACGCTAATTCCACCCCGTCACGAAGACTCACAAAATGCGGAAGCGCCACTTGGTGGTGGACCACCTCTTGAAGCACTGGCCAAGAACGACGGTGGGCACCCGCAAGGTACTACCCCTGACGAAGATCAGCCATCCTCCTCCCCACCTGCAGTCTCTCCAGACTCTCTGCATTTGTCTCATTCGTCTGAGAATTTGATAAAACCCTCGGGAAGCAGTCCGCGGCGACTAATATACTCTGGTTTTATTCAGTGCCTGTTCCAGTCTGCTAACCGTAGTCTTCCTGCAAACGTTGTGGCCTCGAAGTCTGCACTTTCAAGTTTGACCCTCTTTCTGTTCGATAATTTCATTACTCTGGCCGAGAGGGCGGTCACTTTTCTTCCACCAGATCATGTCAAAATGGCCGACGACTTCCTTTACAAAATCATTGGCGTGCCTCTAAGTTTTCTGGTCGCCTGGTGGTTTTTCCTCTTCTCCGCCTTTGCCACCTACGTCCTTATTCGTGTTGGAGCGCACATTTTTATTGGGTCCGGTGATGGTGGTGTGCAGCAACGCTCGCTGGTCGACTGGTTAGCTATAGAGGAGCATGCCAATCAGCTGGCTGCACGTCTGGCTGACCAGGAGGAGGCAAATGCTCGCCTTACCGTCTGGACAATGGAGTTGAGTGCGCGATGTGAGGACCAGATGCGTAGCCAGTCGAACACTGAATCCAGCTGTCAGGCACAACTTCGAGAAGTCAGATCGGCCCTGAACCAGAGCCGGCTGGAGACCAAAGAACTACAAGCAACTCACGACGCCCTCGTTCAGCAGATCTCCTCCATGAAGTGTGATCGCGCCTCCCTGGAGGAGCGGTTGCAAGCTGCTAGTGCCAGATACGAGGCTGCCGAAAACGACTGGCGACTCAGTCGCGATGAACTGGATCAATCACATAACGCACAGGTTCAAGCCCTGCAGGAAGAGAAGGAGGAACTCCTGACTCGCTCTAACACCTATCGGGAGAGGATTGTTGAGATGGAGACAGCGATGAAGGAACTGACCACCTCAAGTCAGAAGTTGGAGGAGGAACTGGTAGCACGAGATAGGGAGCTGGCTGGTCTCCGCGATATGTTCATTCAGCTGAAGAGTTTCGAACTGAGTCTTTCTCAAACGAATTCGGATGCGGCTTCGCTCGGTGCCGCCACTCCGCCGAATGTCTCGAAAGAAGATGGGGCCAGACGAAAGTTGTCTGCCTCCAGTGGTGGTTCTGACCAAGATGCTGCCGACGGTAGCGATTGGGGCGCTGAGGTTGACGAACTGGCCAACGAGGTGGATCTTGACGATCAGCTTGCCGTTACAGAAATGACCAACAGTCGAGAAAGTGATGAGAATGAAACTCAAGGGAGACGGAACGAGCGGCTTCAGCAAGTGTTGGCCAACTTCCTCGATGTTGGCAAGCTAAGAGCAGCCCTCTCTGCCTTGGAGGATCAGCTGAAAGTGGAGACGGATCGGTGCAAACAGGAGACTGAGCTACGCAGTCAATTACAGGAAAAGTTGGCTGCTCTGGAGGAGTTGAACGCCACCCTCGTGCAAAAGTGTAGCCAGGCGGAAGAGGACAGGTCGGCGGCCATAAAAAAGTTGGAAATCCTGTCAGACTACTTCAAGGAGCGCGAAGTGGTGATGCAGCGTGATTTGGGTCGTCAAGCCCTCTCCGAGTCTGAGACTAACGATGAACTAGATTACCTTCGCCAGCGAGCCAAATCCCTCGACGTAGAAGTAAAGGCTCTACGTGAACAGGTATCCTCCACCCGTCGTGAGCTGGTAGAAAATGAGCGAGCCAGTCGTCGCCAGATTGCGCAGCTTGACAAACGCCTACATGAGAACTGGTTGTCCGCCAGGGCCTCGGAGAATCTGGTAAAAGAACTACGTGACGAGAACACTGCTTTGCGCCAGAAGATCGGGGATGGCGAAAAACTGACTCTGCAGCAGCTGATTTCGCGAGGACCGCCGGTGCCAATGCCGCTGTTGCATCAATCCCTTGTTCCTCCTGGTGGACCCAAGAAGTCGGATAGCCGACCCTCTTCGCGTCAATTGGGAAATAGCAGCGCTCAGATGCCGCTGAAGCAGGGATCAGGATCCCGACACACCCCGTCCTTCCTTCCACCCCCGCCCTCGCTGCCTGGGATGCCACCTTTCGCAGCAGGAGCCCCAGGGGTGCCCTTCATGCCTCCACCGCCTCCGCCACCACCACCTGGCTTAATTCCCCCTAAGGGAGGTCTTACCCTTTTACCTTCTGTACAGCGCACTTTCTCCAATAGGAATAGTCCAATCCTGCCCGGATGGGAAGTAATGCATGCCCCTGCGTCGCCGCCCGCTGCCCCACATTCGAACTCAGGCAGTAGCCGTTCCGCCAAACGGTGAGTGTGACAGGGAACTCACCGACACTTTGACACACGCATACACTCACACACAGAAAAGATTCTGAGCTGATCATTGAGATGTATTGTCTTTCCTAATCTTGATCTTCTCGCTTACCCGCATGTATGTATTTGTTCATGGCCTTGTACATCCTTTCGGCATGAACTGAGCGAAGTCGGGTTGTGGTGAAGTAAACTCCTCGTGGGCAGTGCTATTATGCATACTATATTTTCCGCCTTACGTTTTTGTTTGTCATTTGTTTTTGCTCATTGTTGTACGTTAGATTCGGCGCTCAGAATTCAGGCTTTACAACCACAAGACCGGTTTACCGTCGCGACGAGTGGCAACCGAGCATTTTTTTCTTTCTTAAACGCCTATGATTACGTCCACACCAAAGTAGATTAATATTGTTACCTTCCGGCGACAGCTGTCGCAAATGTTGTTCTCGTTACCTCGGCCTATCCCCTAGGTTATATAGTCCGAATATGCAAAGGATATTTGTCGTGTAGTGTTCAGTCTTGAAGCTGACTGGACGGATGAAGAAGCCGCGTGATCACTCCTTGGTTCTTTTGCTAGCAAGACAGGACAATGGGGCCATTTGTAACTATATTTGTCCTCAGCGCCATATCAGAGTGGCGAAATTGCAATTTACCTGCCAGCGACTGTACAATCCTGTGGTACATATTGCGATTGTTATTTAAGTGGTCAGAAGGAGTGTGCTGTATTTTCACGCAGTTAGGCGTTTTGGTTAAAAGACCGCCTTACACGCCAGGATACACTGACATTTTAAAAGCGAGTCAAGACTAAGATGCACACGAAGGTACATGTTGGAGGCTACTGTTTGTGCGAGTCGGGCTTAGACGTGTGATTTGCGAACAACTGACAAATGAGGAAGCGGGCAAGGAAGGGCATCCTTGAATATAAACCCGCCAAACTTGGCTGATTGCTCCAGGTCTTACAAATGGGCCTCAGGACCTTCAAAACCGAATGGAGCAAGTGACGCGGTTCGGTCATTGACGTGCGAAGGATGCCGTCAAGCAACGTTATCAAATAGGGATGTGAAGCGGACCCGCAACAGAAGACGGACTACAGGGGACACCTATGAGTACGCACATATCCTCGTTTTTTAAAAAAAAGGCAGGAACAAGGAGTGAAGAAAGGGAGTGCCTGAATGGTCCACGGGGCAATGGTCGTCTGGGCCTACCCTTGATGAAGACGTAATTGAGCTACTTGAGGTTTATTTATGATCAAACGAGATGCGTCATCAGCGGCTCGTGTTTACCACCGTAAGGAGGGTGCGCCGCCACAAGTGTACAAAGGCTCCAATGGGCTGCAGGAAGGGTAGAGGCTTGCGGACAGCAGCCTCGGCCTAAAAGAGCCAGGTAGGCAAAAGTCCACATCTACCGATTGCAGGAGTATCAGAGTGCAAAGAGGAGACCGGTGGAGTGGATAAGAACACAACTCTCTGTGACCTTCGGCAAACCCCGTTGTGACGCAATCGGGCAGAACGCTTACGAAGCAAAATCACTCGTTTCTGCGGTCTACTAGCATTACTTTAGTCTTCTGTGGGACGGATGAGTCTAAGCAGCGTCAGCTGAGTAGACTGGTAGTGCCTAAAAGGTTCTACGATAACTATATTCCATCCTTGAGGAGAGCAGGAAAGCAGTCTGGTCCGGTGGCAACCTGTCCACAGAATTTCGCAGTCGTCGCTCAGCCTGGGAGGTGACACTGGGTGGAAGGCACTTGATACCAATGACACGTTTACTTGGAGTGGTGTCTGTTAGACTGCACGGGATACGGCATTTTTAATTAGCCGTCTAATTTGACGTTTGCACTGGCTAGTGGACACTGCGGCCTGTCGCGGCACTAGGATTGTCACACGCACAGTAGATGCTTGTTATTTGAAATGACAGTTTTTTGTTCGGGAAAAAACGGTGCGAAGAACAGAAGCGGCCTTCTATGTTGGCCTAAATTTATTTTACCCATTGAGGCTGCTGTCACACCCAATTGAGATGGTGCTAGCGAATAAAGCCTCTCGCTGGTGTGTCATAAGGGCGCTCGCTAAGCGTGTCATTATCGACAACAAAGACGTCCGCTTGTAGCAGCACGCTCTTGTGGAAAGCCCTATCCCAGTCGTGGTTGTCACAGGGTCCAGATGCCCCATGCACGACCACTCAGCTAGGTATCCCGCTAATCGCCATCACCTCGTGCGGGTGCCGTCGCTCAGACGCCGATCGACGCCGTAACTTTTGCCTATCTTACCTAGACAAACTTCGCTCTGTGTGGTCGTGCCACTCCCGCACACGACAAAGGGATGACTCGTAGCTGGCTTTTCAGGGCTAAACAGAGAACCAGCACTGGTTATCGCCATCTGGTGTAGATAACATAAGGAGGACAAACTTCTAGGGGAGTAAACATTGCTGAAGGGACAATCGGCAACAGTTCGAAGGCGAGACTGAGAATAAAGGGGCTCAGGTATTTAGGGAACCCTTAATCACTGTGTCTCTACCGTAAATTGTTGGAGGATGGGTGCTGGCGGGTTGCTGCTTGAGAAACCTGGGTCACGTGGACTTCAAAGCAGTAGATGATTGTTTGTCGCAATAAAAGTTTAAACGCGATGTGAAAGTCAGATGACTGTACGAAGTAAAAGGCGGTGTGGGCAATGTGAGCACTAGAAACTAAATTTTGGAGCGGATGGCAGTTCGCCCATCGAAAGGAAATGGCCACCACTGTCCCCGAGAGGACGCAGCGGTGGCATGCGCGTTGACTGGTTTTTAGTTGGGAGAACCTAAATGGAACCCAACTCCCTCCTTCCACACCCGCCACACTTGGATGACAAGAAGATGTCGAGGCTACGGGAGATGAGCTGGAACACGACGGGGTAGGGCTTAGAACCGCAACGGAAGTCAAAGCACTTTGCTGCTGTGCGCCACGCCCCCCGTTTGACTGCATTAACGTCCATTCTTTTTACTGACACGTCTCTAGTATGACCGATGCACGTTGGAATCATGAAAAAACTGGAGGCATCTGCCTGCTAAAGGTTAGTAAACCAAATCCTCGTCAAGGGTTAAAGTCTTGCTAGAATTGCCATCTGGGAAGAATTAGAGTTTGTCGCTGGTAATTGATGAAAGCCGAGTGCCACAGGGACGTTAAGCTTCCTAGACTTGAAGATGCCAGCTTCAGCCGACAAAGGGGACAAAGTGGCTTTTTAACTGCAACACGTCAAAACGTGCGAAGGATTTTCAGGCGCCGCTAAATGTCTTCCACGGCAAAATGAGGATGCCGAGTGTGCGAATGGAATTGCTAAAGATATTTTAGCACATCACACATGGACACCAGCAGGTAGAGGATTTGATAAATTTGTCAAGTGATGGGCAAGATGCCGGAAATGAACCACTACATTATTTCGTGCGGGCAGCTCTTTTATCTGGACTACCTTTATGAGCGAAACTACTTCCGTTGTGAGCTATAGGAATAGCACGTTAAGACAGATCTTATCACTCTTCAACGGATCCAAACTCATTGCGGAAAACCGGAGGAAAGAGCACGTGAGGCCCGTTATCTCCACGACAAGTTTGTGCAACATGGCTATCTGAGGTCATTCATAAATTGCTGCCTACGAGGTCGCCCCCAGAGGGCCCAACCATCAACACCATTGACGATATGGCATTCTCTGCCATACATCAAGGACGTTTCAGAAGCACTCGAGCGCATTGCTGCCGAGCTAGGTGTTAGAATTACACACCGCCCCAAAGCCGCCATGCGCAGTGGGGTCATTAAAATTAAAGACCGGTTAAAGCCTGAGGAGAAGTCTGGAGTAGAGCATCGCATCCCGTGCCAAAACTGTTCTCGTAACTACGCAGGCCAGACTGGACGCATACTCGGGTCGCGCATGCACGAACATAGGCTGGCTGTGCGACGAGGCGACGAATTACCACAAGTGGGCGCCCAAACCTACGAAACGGGCCATGAATTTAACTTCGCAGCCACCTAAATATTCGCCCACGCCGGAAACAAACGGGCCGAGAATCGATTGGAGCCTGGGCCTCGGACGTGAACTCAGTCAATCGATTTACCGATCTGGCGCCGGCGTACAGAGCCCTGCGCAGTCTTGCGCCGTCGGCCGATGATTATCTTACACGCCCTATAAATGTCGTCCGTCCTGTTGCTGCTAGTTACTCTGACGGTAGACCCGTGCACGATTTTAGACGCTCAGAACAAAAGAATGCTCCGGTGCTCGACCACCTTCTTCTTCTTCTTCTTCTTCTTCTTCTTCTTCTTCTTCTTCTTCTTCTTCTTCTGCTTCTTCTTCTTCTTCTTCTTCTTCTTCACTTAAACCCCGTCTCTGTCTGAGAAGTGACATTTAATGCGCGTTCTATTTAAGCAGTTCATACAGTTAAACTGAACTGTTGTTATTTTTAGCGTTAGACAATTAGGAGGTCACTTTTAGTTCACTGCACGGCAGCTTTAGTTTTATGACCCCCTCTCTCTGTCTCTTTCTCGTTCTCGTGGTGCTTAGTTGACCCCAGACGGATTTGTGTCCTAGACCCTTTTTGACCGTTCTGACAAGCAGGATGGCAGCCGTTTAGTAAGTTTGGTGAGATTTGGGTCCAATGTACCCCAAAATAATGGGGTCCAGTTGTAGTAGTATTGGTCCTGGGTAGGGAAAATCTAATTATCATATCGGTTTGTTGCTGGGTAATGCGGGTATGGTTTTCACCGTCATAAGGTGTTATCATTAGTTATCCCGAATGGCAGACCACATAAGATTTCTACATTTCAGTGGCAGGACGAGGAAAGTGCGTGGCAAATATGCCGTTTGTCAAGCTCTAAAGTCTAGTTCATCTACTTAACTTTGCCAACTGATCCACGTTCTATTGCAACATCTTCAGAGCTCGGGGGAGGTAAAGTTTTCTGTTGGTGTTTCTCACGTTCTCCCAAATGGGACCTTGCTTAGGGTCGTAGGGGTTCAGATACGACCATGACTGTGGCTGCTGAGACAGGCGAGTAGTAATGAAATTTTGAATGCATTGTTACCGAACGCAGGGATCCGTAAGGTGAATGACACTGAGCAGACTCCCCTGGCCTCCTCTTCATTACCATGCATAATAATTTTCTAGCTGAAAGAATCGTTCTTTTCCGCCCTTAAGTTTAGATTAGAAAATGTACGCGCACTCATATTGTGCGAAAATAACCAGTTTATTTTGAAAAAATCCATTAAAACTGATTCACAATCATGAATCCCGCGATAACGATGCACTTTATGTCTAGGTATCCCCTAACTCTGCTGTGGTGGACATTCAGGGGTGGTATATCATGTTAGAGATACGGTAAACTCTAAGGAAAAGCGAGAATTTGCCTATGACTCTTAAGTTTTTTAGAATATCTTGGAATTCGTCTAGCGCGTGCGAATAAAAGTGCAGTCGATGTCTCCGCACTGTGCTAACGAAAGGGAAGATGCAGACATTTAGCTAATGCCGTTTAGCAGTGATGCGGTAGTTAGTGGATTTGTTGGTATTTTGGAGGTCTCATGGTCCTTATTAGTCATAATTTTGGATGCGGCGACTACAAGGGAGCTGCGTATGTGATCCTCTGACCTCAAATGCAGCAAGGTAGCCACGTAACTGAATACTGTTTGCACTGCGGGGGCAAACTTCAACAAATCCGAGAGTGTTTGGTGGGGTCTAAGGCGAGAACTTCGGTGGTGTCCCGATAGAAACGGTGGCTGCTTTGATCTGAATTCATGACATGCACAGATGTATATTTTTGGCTGCCTCGGCAGCTTGCTGATAAAATCTGACTGAGAATCTGTGCTGCTCTTACGCAGCCGTTATTTTCTGTTCGTCTGTCTTATACCTGGTCACTCAGGCCTCTCAGTTTAATCGGAGTCAGTCTAGATATCGAAAGACGTTTCTGAGTAACATTGTAAACGAAGGCTGGGGGACAAGGGGGGTCGTTTCTGCTTTATCTGCCGTCGTCTTCGAGTCGTCCTCCAGACCGACTTTGAGGCTATTCTCGAGAATTCAAGTTACCCTTGCAAGGCTCCTTTCTGCTGAAAAAGCGACTGAACTTCAGACCGTCAGCTGAGCCAAAATAGGGCTGCACTATCGCAAATATTAATATGTAAGTGGAACAGAACCGCAACTCCGTCCTTCATTTTTTTCTACTACATACCTGGACGACATCTTTCAGCAAGCTTTCACTTTTCTTGTTTTCTACCTACTACCCAATCGTCAAACGAGAGTCCAATTCCTCCAGCCTCTCCTAAAGACCCCGAACAGTCTAATTGCATGAATGAAAGAACGGCGATGGATTACGGTTCACCAGACCTGTGATTGTGGTCACAATGCACGTATTCTGATTGGTAGAATTCCTTTTCCATGGTACCTTGCGTGCACACTGGCGTGAAGGGCTGGGACTGTTGTCAGGACAAAGAAAGAGGGAGCAGAAAGAGAGAGATAGGGAGGATAAAATGACCAATTAATTATTGCCACCACCATTCCTTTTTACCCAACCTGCACAAGGCGCCACTTTGTTTTAGTCCTTCATGATTTCCGTAGTTTACAAGTTCCCACAGACCCTGTGGTGGAGCGGCTTGCCCGAAATTACTATACGAAATCCATACAGAATACAATGGCTAGTGTAACTGCCTTTCGATTTCATGCCTCTCACTTTTTTAGGCCAGGTTTACAGCAGGTGTGGGAACTCGTGAAATTTCATGAGTTAGCACAAGAAAACAGCTATAGCGCAAAGTCCACCCAAACTGCGTCCCTCAAAATCTTACGACAGTCAAAAACGATTGTTTTTAAGAAATAGATATAGTTGGGTTTGTAAATTTATACTTACTAACGTAAAAATAATTAATTTTCAATGAAAACTAAAGTTTCAGAAAATGGATATCATGGAAGGACAGATTTCGCCCACATCTTGCCAGTTTTTCTTTAATAAAACTGACTTGAAATGAATCTCTCTTCCTTAAACGGCTTTCTGTACTCCAAACCATTTCAATAAACACAACAACACCAAGTGTGTGACATACTTCTCACTCAATGTTCGACCACAACATTTCATGAGGTAGCCCACCGACTGTAGAAAAAAATTCATATTAAAGTCGGAAAGACAAGACTTGCCTGATTTATAAAGAAATATAGTTCAAATGGAGCGGGCATAAACGCCTCCTAAATAGTACTCAAATTAAAACAAAAAACGACATTAATTTTCGGTACCTCTAGTGTTTTTTCGTTCTCTAGGTGTCTGGCACAGTACGCTTATTTGGTATTTGACGGGCAGCGGCTCCTTCCTAATGTGGTCTTTATGGCACCTGAGATTACTTGCGATCTAAGGACCCCCACTCCGTGAAGCCCGGTACGCCCGGAGCTAGGTATGAGGTCGTGCTGCCTGACATGGCCGCCCATTACGTTCGAGCCCACCTCCGGTCGTCTTTATCCTGATTTGATATGCAAAGCCTGCGTGTGAAGGGGGTGAGGTGTATGCAGCGCAAGCGTGCTACAGTATAAAACAAATTCATGCACAAGTCACTTCTGCAGCGTCCACCTCTTGGGACAGTAGTCAAGTTCTTTGTCCACTTTTTAATTTTTACAAAGAGTACTGAGGATTGAGTTACGAAAAGGACAGCGCATAGGTATACCCCGAAATATCCTGGAGGTCCATGCTGATGGAGCTGAAGAGCACCCCTTACCTTTACCGAAAGGCAAAAACGGGGTGTTTTTCTTTTGAAGTGCATTTCAGAGGAACCGTATGTAATCATGCCATAGACATGCTGCTTTTTTAGTCTAATCGGGCAGTGCACACTACTGGGTGTTTAACCGCATAGTCTCAAGCTAATGTAAGGCGTTGACAAAGGCAGGGGGCTGCTCCGCCCTAACATCAAGTATATGATTACATCAAAGCCTCCTAATAGTGTGTTTATACTCGTGCATCGTCTCTGTTCGAAGTACTGGAAGTGTATATACTCCTCAGGCCAGGCTTAATCGAATTCAGCCAGAAGGAGGCAAACCCAGTGACTTCAGTGGCAAGAACGTTTGACCGGGGGTCGGTTCTGTCCTCAGCTGGGGAAGAAGTGTCGGCTGGTGATGTCTAATAGGCCACCAATGGCGACTCAGATGCTCTAGCTCTTGTTAGGTACATTTCCTGACGTGATGTCGCCATCTCATACAGCCCGTCGTACGCAAATATGAGGAGGCGCACCCTACGTCGCACAAACTTCACCCGAAATATCAGGGCATTTACGCATGTGGGTAGGGCAGGTGGTCCTGCGTTAAACTTCAAGGGGCCAGGGTTGGGGGTTAGTTTTAGGGTTGGAGTTAGGAGGGTGGGTGTTATGGTTAGGTTTGGGAGGGTTAGTCGAAGTTAGGACACGGGAATGGGCATCCCTGTAGTGGTTATGCGGTGAGAGTGTGTGTAGCATGTGAGCTACAAATAGCAGGTCAAATCGCAGATTGGAAGGAGAAGACGGAAGGCACCAGAATGAGGGGTTTATTGTGCACAGAACCCAGAGTTGTCCTCTCAGGCGGCAGTGGCCACTGGCGAAGCCAGGGCTGATGTTGACTGTGTCCAGTCATGCCTGAGAGTCCTTGAGCTAGTGGTGGCAGCCGCTCTTGTAGGCTCGTGGGCCAAGCTCAAGTGGTGTCCAATCAGCGTGCGTGTTGCATTTGCCGAGGGGTGGTGTCCCAGTGGCTTGTTTCGCTGGTTGCAGAGGGTGGCGCATGGTAGCCGCGACGCTGTGTGGACGCAGTTGTGTCGGAGCTGAAATCGGTCGAGTGGCTTCAGGTCAGCGTGTCTGGAACGGTTCGCTGCAAGGGGTGAATGACCTTGCGGCAGCGAGGTCTTGAACAATGGCGCCAGACCGGTCATGATGACTGCCCGCTACATCCCGATGGAATTCGGCTCAAGACTACTCCTGGTACAGGGGGACCTTATTCCTGGGTCCAACCAAGGCTGCTGCAGAATAAAAGTGCGACCCGTATTCTGCATTATGCAGGTGACCGAGTGAAGTCCGTCTCGGCCGGTCAGAAGGTAAAGGAAGATGCGTTTATCCATTGTGACAGAGAGAGGGGGCAATCACTGAACCCGATAGGATACGGGGATAGCTTTCACGTGAGTTTGTCTCTGGTGAACCAGACCCGCACACGTATCTCTCATATAACTTACAACCTTCCTCCTGTCATACTCAAGTGCGTAGTTGCATCCTACGTTAGACTATCTTCGCCTGAAATAGCGGGACACAAGAGAACCCATCATAACCACCCTCTTAAATGCTGTAAATCAAGCACATTTATCGATCAGGTGTACGTTGGAGGTGGAAAGGGCAGGCTCTGCGTCTTTTGTAGACGCCCTTCTAAGCAGCAGCAGCAGCAGCAGCAGCAGCAGCAGCAGCAGCAGCAGCAGCAGCAGCAGCAGCAGCAGCAGCAGCAGCAGCAGCAGCAGCAGCAGCAGCAGCAGCAGCAGCAGCAGCAGCAGCAGCAGCAGCAGCAGCAGCAGCAGCAGCAGCAGCAGCAGCAGCATCCGAATAGGCGTCTATCGAAAGGACATCTGGTCTAGACAACATACGAACTTGTACAGTTCGTACCCCTTCAACAGAAATGTAATCTAGCCCGCTGTTTGGCGCAAAGGACGAGAAAAATCTGTTCGGCAAACAGCGTTGATGAGGAACTTAAAAGGATCCAGGACCTGCTTCGCGAGAACGGGTATCCTGACAGATTTATTGTAAGGAGTCTTGCCGAACGACCGGCAAAACTCATCATACCGACCGCAGAAGAGAAAACTCTGTTCATCGAAGTACCCTTTCAAAGGGACGCGGCGAGTGAGGTCCTGAAAAGGCGCCTTGACCGGGCCGTTTTAAGGACCTTCCCGGCAGCAAGACTTCAAGTCTTGTTTTCGAACAATCCCGTCCTCCGGGGGGCGGGGGAAGGTAAGGGTAGGCTACCAGATTAGACAGTCTCCGTATGCATTTACTCCTTTACTTGATCTTGTGAAGCAGGCTACATTGGTTGCACGAGTCGGCACCTATCCACAAGAATACGAGAACACCCGTGGGCATGACTGACGAAGGGTGAAGTTAAGAGCATACACAGCTCCATCCTCGCACACATAGTTGATTCTGGGCAACGTGTGGATCCCAACGAAGTATTTCGTGTGGTTTAAAAGGTCCCACCTAACTACTCCAAGCGACTGTGCCAGCGCATATTAGCAACAGCAGAGGTAACCGCCATCAGGCTACAATGGCCGGCCCTGTGCGCACAGAAGAACCTACCTGTTCCTTGTCTACCGTGGGCGAGGATGGATTAACTGCATGCATGTCCCCCTTCCCCAGCTTGTGAGGCGGTTCAACCTAATCCTTACTGTCACCGTCTGCTGCCTTCCCCCTCCCCCCACTACATTCACATTCCCCTTTTGTATGAGAAGACGAACGTCGATCGATCGCTCTTATCGCGCACATGTTTCAGCTTGTACCTCGTTCCCATATAAATGTACAGGATCGATGAGAATTTATCGAAAGCACGCAAAAGCTCGTCAAATGCTCTTCTGAATTTTCACATTTGTTTTGTCTGCAAGTCAACATTAGAGGTATCTTACGAGAATAAAATCTAAAAAATCTAGCCACAGTAGTTTCCTACGTATAGAAAGTTATTTTTGACCCCTTCAGATGATGAGTTTCGAACCTGGGTTAGATTACGTTTTGACTGCTTTATCGTACTGCTTTAGAGTACACGGTTGAAAGGGGAAAGGTTAAGACCCTTCCGACACAAAAACTGAGTAATGACAAATGGAGTGAAAACCAAGAATATTTTTCAGTTATATTTCATTTTTTGAGGGGATAACACTATGCGCTTTCTGTTCTAGTCGTGAAATAGGCGGCCGTCTTAGTCATATGACCCCCAACACTAGAAAAGCAGAACAGTGGGCAAAAAACAGCCAACGCGGAGGAGGAATTGATGTGGTGATGAGTGAAGTGCAGAGCTTCCGCAGTCCTGCTGAACAAAAGTATTGATGGAACGCTCTCTGGAAAAAAAACTTTTGATCCGGCTCTCTTTGTATTACATTTAAAAGTCGTGGGTCTCTAGATCGTATCTAACGTCCTTTATTAACTGCGACACAGGGCATCTGCTCGTAATTACCTCTTCAACAGGGCCTCACGAACTTGCCCCCCACGTTTCGTATGATAAGCCGAGGCATGAAACCATTGCGTAATTTCTGAGGATTTTGGCTATTTTATTAAGCCAAGATAACTAAGGAAAACGTCTCCTTACGGAGAACATTAATTTAAGTGGGAAATGGTTGAAGTAGGCAAGAACAGCAGGATTTATTGGCACCAAAAAATTTCGCGACTGCTCTTCAGCTGCTTCCTGTCGCTTCATAAGAGGGATAACGAGTGAGAACAATACAACAGATTTGAATTCATGCAGAAAATCGATGCAGAAACAGCAAGGTTAGGGTTTTGGGCAATGTTGGCCAACATTGCGATCGCATTGCACAATTCGTTTTACTGAATAATGTATTACGAGTAAGGGGAATAAAACTGATTGAGCACCGGAGCCATTTGTTTATTTGTCTGGACTTTCGAACTCCTGCAGGAGCCTAGCGCTAGAGATAAAAGCAACAACAGAGCAGGCGACAGTAGGTGTTCGCCAACCAACTATCAGTGACGCAGATTTGTAGGTGACTGCGAAGGTCTTTGTATGCCGGCACCAGATCAATACATCGATTGACTGACTTCTCACCCGAGACCAATGCGTCAATTAATTCTTGGCATAAGTTAACAAATTAACAGGCAATACACTTTTCTTTCAAAGGTTTAAGCAAAAAATACCGGAGACGTGTGTGTCCTATGTAGGAAAACAGGCACCTGCCCAGTGCATTCCGGTTATGAAAGCAAAACGACAACCTCATTAAAGGTTGTTTAGAAAATACGCAGGTATTATGGGCTAAGAAAGCATGCTGGTGTGGCAATATTGTGACGTGTCCAAAACTACCTAAAACCAGTGGAAATTATTCGAAACGTCGGATCGAGGTATGAGGTGTGCCGTCTTTAAGATAACAATGCACACAGCAACAAAGTGTCTGCGACCTCGAGGATGGACGGTTGTCTTAAGGTGCCAAAGACAGAAGATTATCACGAATGGAAGAGAATATGCGCATCCCAGGTTCTCGTTTAAAAGAAGACGAAGGCACGACCACTGTCGGACACCAACTCTAACAATAGACACATTGATTTGCCTGCAAGTTATCACGCGCTCCGCCCACGCAGCTAGGTGGCGAAGCTCACATCGCCGCGACGGATAAACGCCGTCACCACGCCGGGGGACCATCGTGGGCCGGGCGCAGCACGAACCGGACCTAGCCATGGACGTAATTTCCCCTGCCTCACGGTACAACGGTATAAATGTTCGCACGTTACTGCATTTTAACAGTCTCTGATGATAAACTCCTGTGCAAATTCGAAAGCTAAGTCCAATAAAGCTATCGTTCCAGTGATCGTGCCGTCGTCTTCTTTTAAAGGGAAGATCATTACTTATCCCACTGTAATCACAACATGCGTCCGAATGACCTAACACAACGAAAACCCCAAAAGGGCTTAATCGCTTCCTAAAAAACTCGTGGAACAACTCTGCTCTACTAGAGAATCCTACAGATTATGCAGAAGGCTGTCCTCCGTCCTGTCCCGGACGCGACTGCAAAAATAGTCCCAATCGCCATTTTTTCAGTATTTCAGCTGAGTCTCCAATCATTATGTGCAGCTTTATGCTAACTGACCTATCTGACTAAGTCGAGCTGGTTCCCTCGCATGCGCGTGCGCAGCCGTTGCATCAACCACTGCATCGATTTTTTTTCAAATTCTCACCCAAGTTGAGTTAAAAAGGTGGCACGGAGGCGTTCTGACTATTTGTTTTCCTCATTCTGCACAGTCAGTCAAATATAATTCTTTGTTTTACTCATGTTTTTTTGGGCCATGACAAGTACCTTGTAAAATCATATTCATGCACAATCAGAGCAGAGTAGCTTATGCGATTAGATAAAGTGCACATAGGAACTTAAACTTGATGGGTGTCAATTTCAATTCTTCTTCTGCGTGTATGAGAAATATTTCAATGACTTCTAGTAAAAATTTTTGGATCCTTTCTCGTTTCACTGGATTCAAGCCAGGATTGCCTTAAATCTCCCCGATGAAGAAAACTTTCCAACCTCAAGTTGGTATTTACCTGGCAATTCTAATTAATCTGGGCACATAGCTGTCCCTTTCGCCCCGGACTGCAGGCTTTTAAGACGGGTGAGAACCACCTGTTGTCGCTGAAATTGCTGCAGGCCTCTCATGAAAAGAAATCCTACGCGTCGAACGGTCAGATAACAACTTTTTGTCGATTTGGATGACTGCACTTTGTGATACACGCGATAAAAGACATTTCAAATTTTTCGCCTTAACATATGAGATCGAAAGAAGGCAATGCGATCGGCATAGCAGAACAAAAGTCACCTGATTTCTTGGCGTCAGATGACTTTGCCGTTACTAGGCAAATACAACGAAATCTCTCTGACTCTTGTCTGATAGTAGGCCCTCTCTGTCAACTGAGAATGGTGGGGCTCTTTCCAAGACGGCTGAGAAGATTGACTAGTGAAGCGCGACCCAGTCTGGTCCCGCTAGTACGATGATGACATCCCATGAAGAAACTGATACAGACGCGACCATATAAGGCAGCCGTTGAGAGGCTTTGCGTCATGTAACCTCGAAAAATACCTTGTATTTACAGAGGTCTGCCGTCCGCCCCCTACTGCGCCGACCGGTGTGCCGCTGAGAACCGGAAGCCTGTGTAGAATGAGGTCCCTTAAATTCGAATTGGTCTCAACAGGTGACATTTGGACCGTCGCGCCCGACGATGTCCTGGGCAAGGAGCTTCAGTGGTTGGACATCAGCTTCCAATTTCGTGCCCTTAGCCGGGACTTAGTTTTTAAATGGGTAGACGGGTGATTTTGTTACATAAGTAGCCGCGGAGCATGGAGCGGTAACGCCCATCTGAGTAATTGACGCATCACGAGAGGACGAGTTTCCCGCCATCCAATAGGGCTTAGCTAGCCGTTAAGCAATATTATAACCTTGAACTGATGTGCAGTATGCGTGCCGGCGGACGTCCACGTTTGGATCGCGACACTACGGGAAACAACTATGTCGTCCAACGAAACAAACACCCTGCAAGTCACAGTTTAGCCGGGTTCTTGGCTGACAGGAAGACTATTTGGACTTAACGGGGACCACTGTTTCCGAGAGGGGCAATGTTTCAATACGTGCCAGAGGGACAAGCAAAATCAATTACAGAAATGACCTGCGTCCAATGCTGTTATTAAATCAAATCCACAGAGCGTGTGAAAACCCCTGGCAGTTGAAAGTGGCATTTAGCTTGGAATATAATTATCACCGGCAGCTGGAAACCTGGCTTTATGCCACGTCAGAAAATCACGAAGCGAGAGGTAGGCGATAAAGAAATGCTGTCTGGAAAAGCTTCCAGTTCACTGTGGGAATACCAGGTATTCCCAAGCCAAGCTACAAA